AAACTAAAAAAGTTACCTTTTATTTAAATGGTTGATCACCAAATTACGGGTAACTCTAATAGCTCTGGCGATAATGACTTCTTCCTTGCCTAGGGGCCTACTGCCTTGGCGGGGTCCTAGTAGGAGGTGGAGATGGTGTAAAGCTTACGCAGAGTATCCGTTAAAATACCTGGCTATTTCAATAGGTTTTTATGAAGAGTAGTAGACGTCGTTTTCTGTTTCATCGTCTGTATGGCAATCAGAAGCACGATTTACTGCTTTATGTACACGATCCTTGATATGTACTTTTTCAGGGGGAAAACTCTTCCTCTAAAAAATAATAATATGAAGCTTCATATTAAATTTTCAATTATTTCCCATTGCAATTTGTCTTGTTAAATGTAATGGTTTCATACAATTGTATGTTTTTAGGAGCGTAAGACGACCTCAATGATGGAAAAGCTGAAAGTATGCGAAGCTGAAAAGGAAAAGGATAATTAAAAAGCTGAGGCTTCTACCTCGCCTGAATCACTATTAGTCTATACTAAAACGTCTTCTAATGTTTACAATCGACCTTTCATCATCCCACTTTTCAAATCTAGTTGTTGATGTCGTCTATATTAGTTACTCTGTTATATAACACCACGACACCCGCATCACTCGATATATATTGGACGTGTAAACAAATGATCTTGAGGTTGTCGTGATTATATCTACCAACTTGAGAGGCCATTCGCGCCATCACGAGTCATCCGTATAGTCGTGTAAATGTTTTTCTATACTTTTTTGTTTTCTGATTTGAGCGAAGCACAAGCGATGGAGGAGGCTTACACTTGGATAAAGGTGTGGTGGGTTAAGCGCAAAACAGAGGTTCATGCAGGATTAGTAAGCTCGGGGTCCATACTTGACTTCCCTTTTTCCAATACAAGGGAATGCCAAGTACTTCAGTTCTTCCCTTTCCCACCACGGATCTGTTAGTTGGAGTGTGCACTGTCACCAGTGGCAAGAAAATAGCAAATACTGCGCCTGCCACTGAGAAAGGTGGCCGGAATCGTACTGAGCTGACCTCCTGAAGGGAACACTTTCGATGCTTTCACTTTGAATCGAGGTTGGCTCCTCCTACCAGCGCTTATGTAACAAGCGGTACTTTAAACTTTTAATGGGGCACTTGGCAGTAGGCGGCAACAATTACCCTGACAGCTGCGGACGTAGGAGTTTCTTAATGCACCGCTAAATCGGATAATATGTCCGCCCCGCGCAACAGGTAGTGCAATCAGCTAGATGCGAACTTGAAGATAGAAGTCTACAGCAAATTCCGAAATCTACCCAGGGATCTACACTCAGATTTATTGCCAGATGGTCCCGCAGCAAGATACGCTGGACCTCGCATCCCTGTAAGCTCATGGCGTCCCTCCTCATTCTTACTCTCCTACCTCCCCCATTTGCTCCCCAATTGCATACCGCAGTAACCTGTGACGCGAAGTGCGCCTCCCGCTGCGTGTGGTTTAGGATATAGCCCTTGGGGTGTTATCGCAATCATGCCATTGCAAAAGGGCAGACCCTGCGAGCTACTCAGATTTGTTAGCGCCCTGTTTATTCCATTAGCCTGCCTTATCACTAACTTCATTTTGTGGACCGACAGACAGACAAAGAGTAGGCAACATCTACAGCAAACAAATCCGCACAGCAACCGGAATATTCACCAATATTAGCTCTTGCTCAATGCCAAACCGAGAAATCCACACCACATGCACAAAATCTCGAGTGAAAAAAGGCTGGACGTCACGTGTGCTCAAAGATGGTGCCATGAATGGATGCCATCGTGTAACACGATCAAATTTCCTGCAAACATTTGCTAATTTTGGTCGTCTTGAAGGCGAGGATAATGGGACAGAGACTGTGGTAAGGTTTTTGAAAAGGAGGGTGTTGCTACGCTGAGAACCCAAATGAGTAAATGAAGGAGAAGCAATTTAGTGGTTGACAATATCCGTCAGCGCGATGCATCACGCGTTCCACTTTCATTTCACCGTAGTAGTATCTTAAATGCGATTTATTCTATACTGTGATTTGTGGGGAACACATGATGTGCAAGTCAGTGGTCTTATGCTCCTGCACAAGTCTAGTATCAAGCAGCAAACCCCACGGGGATGGCAGGCATGATTGGCCTGGACGACACATGATCCAGCAGGACTCGGTTCCAGACCGTGCGCGTGGTAAGCAGTTCCAAATGAGTAGCGAAAAACCAATTGTACATGAAAAGCGTGGATTTGTGCATGCGTAAAATGCTAGTAGCACCATGAGTATCAACCGCTGTGTCCACGCGTCACCGTCGATTGCAAAATGCTCCGACGGCCGCCTAAGGGCCTCACAAATGGAGCTCTGATGGCGGAATAATATGGAACTTCGCGGATGCTGAGATACCATCGCCCTTATCAACATTGAATTTTCGCGTAATTGGACAGATTGCCGATAGGATGACTGAATATTTTTGGTCTCTCGCATCAAAACACGTCGTTCAGGCCACGCCTTTATTATCTACGCGTTCTACTCACCGAGTTGAACGGATTGTGTTGCTATTGGATGGAAATAGACCTACAGCCAAAACCCGCGCGTTGTTTTGAGCTCCCCCAGCGACGGCAAAGCTATTGAGGAATCAGATGAAACTGGTTTGCAGGTTTGCGCACACTCAAAAGTATCTCCCACTCGACAAAATTGAAGGGCCCTGCGTATCTTAGAGCAGGAATCAACAGGGCAGTATGCAGGGATTGATTCACTGTGAGTAGAAAAAAGTCTCAAAGGAATCCTGGTATCTCTGAGCTATAGCACAAGGAAGGTGTAGTGATATGGAAAGATTGACCTTCCAGAAATGTGATATTTTGAAGGTTACGAGGCTTCGTCAACCAAAAGGTGAGAGCGTAGCTGGAAAAGCACACTTTATATATATGATACCAGATTAGTCCCCCGTCAACCGCCGGGACCTTCCTTTCCTGCGCAAGCTTTCTATCCTCCGCTATGGTCCCTTCCTCCTGTGACACCAACACCTCCTGGAAGTGACGCGTATGCAACACAATGGTGTTTCATACAGTAGAAGGGACACAATCATGATATGACGGTAGATTTTTCGCTTCCCTTCCTCATCCTCCCTTCCTCTCTCCACTGCCCTCCAGCTGCCACTGCAGCACCATGTGGAATGAACGGAAGTGTGCTAAGCAGGTGTTTATATAGCCCTAAGAGTGTTATCACAACTATCCTGCTACAAAACATTGATATCTCAAATCCTGTAAGCTACCCGATTTGTTATCGGTTTGTTTATCCCATGAGCTTCCTTCTCACTCACTTCATTTTGCGGACGGACACACATACATACATACACACACACACACACACACGCACACACACACATACAGATACACAAACCGACACACAAAGTTAGCGCTTTATATAATAGAAGGATTGGAAACTGAGCCTTTTGAACGAGATAAAGAAAGAGGAGATACTTGTGATTGTGTGCACTTGTGAGAGCTCCCAGACATCACTACAAAACGGTGAACCGCCAAGCCTGACGGTTGACAGAAGTCCTGAGACCATTTTTGAACCGTTGAATGCTTACGACCTGACCTGCCCTTCTACCCTGCCTCCAATCAAGGTAACTGCGCAAACATGAAATCCTGTTGACGACGGTGGCTTAAACCTTCCACAGCTATTTATTGGCCCCTTAGGCCGATGTCATAGTTTGCGAATCGAGCGATTCGCTAGCGAATCGCTGGATCCGAGCGTTGCGCCAGCGAATCGAACGTTGCACCAGCGAATCGAACTTTGCGCCAGCGAGTCGAACTAGGTACCAGCGACTCAATAGTGGCGGGACCCAACGTTTAAAGGAAGCCCGCCACTTTCAAACAGTGTCACGTGACAGTGGACACTGTTTGAAAGTGGCGGGCTTCCTTTGAACGTTGGGTCCCGCCACTATTGAGTCGCTGGTACCTAGTTCGACTCGCTGGTACATCGTTCGACTCGCTGGCGCAAAGTTCGATTCGCTGGTGCAACGTTCGATTCGCTGGCGCAACGCTCGGATCGAGCGATTCGCTAGCGAATCGCTCGATTCGCAAACTATGACATCGGCCTTAATTAATACTACTAGTAGTAGTGCTCTGTTTCCGAAGATCAAGATGCGTGTCGAATGCAGACCACACGCCACAAGTGACGGCAGTCTCTAAGTAAACTTGGTCACCAGTGGTTCATAGTGATACTTTGATAGTTGGTAAATGATACTTGTAATAAGTGACATTGATAGAATACAACTTTAACTGAATAGTCATTCCATTGACAGAGAACAATTTACATTTTGTGTAGGCGGTCGTCACTTGTGGTATATGGTCTGCAGTCGACGACGTCATCTTTTTTCAGAAGCAGAGGGTATACGTGGTGCATCAGCAACAGCAATGAGCATCAGAAATCACTTGTGCTTGAACTTTCCAAGGTCGTGCACTTCCAAAGCAGGTATACTCGATATCGGTGAGTTGGGGTGGGCGTGTCACCGGAAGTGACGTGCACTTGATAGAAACTATGTGGATAAGCTGCTTCCAACATACATCGCTGGATATCAGCAAAGCATGCTGGCAACAGCTTATCCACGCACTTCTATCAAGTGCACGTCACTTCCGGTGACACACCCACCCCAACTTTCGGATATCGACTGTATACCGTGAGTGCGTAATTACGGTATCTCTCCTCAGAGGGCGTATACGTACCTATCAGTACATTCATAGATCAGCATGCATGATGGCAGCCGTTTTTAAATTCAGTGGATTGCAAATTTCCAACTCTCCATCTAGAATTCGCCAATCAAAGCTCTGATTCCATCTACTCGCAGCTTTTTGGCACGGCACCGCTGTCTGGTCTTTCCTAGCTTTAGATACTGGTTCACACAACAATTTATTTATTTATTTATTTAATTGCACATCCGGTGCATGAACCAGCCGACTAACAAAAAGCCTTACACCAGCATGTCCCTGAGAACGCACAACCAAAACGGCTAGAATCTTCTTCTTCCTAGCGTTAGTCACGCAGTTGCAGTTGTTCTATCCTGGACATCTTCCTCAGTAGCCGTCACTTCAGGGCCTTCTTACGTCTCTCCAGCTCTTTTTGGAGCCTCTCACGATCGCTGGCCTTGCTCTTCAAAATTCATTGTCGGGTGATCTTGTGGTCTTCTAAGCACTTGTCTATACCATTGGAGGCTTATTGCAAATTCCAAAAGAAAAACAAATAATACCAAACAAATTAAGCTGCCTCCACAAGTGCTAGCGTAAGAATGGAAGACTGCAAAATTATGGCAACACTCAAGCTAAAGGAAGCTAAAAGAAGGTTAAAGGAAGCGATTGCGATAAGAGGGAGCGCATCGGGGAAGCATATGCACCACACGAAGCAGTTACTTGGCTGCCAGGAAGCGAGGTGTGGCGCTTTCACGACGAAAGGTGCGCTGGTTGCTGAGCAGGACTTCGAAA